ACAAGCACTGATCTATCTGGGTCTGCAACAAGCACTGATCTATCTGGGTCTGCAACAAACACTGATTTATCTCGGTCTGCAACAAGCACTGACCTATCTGGGTCTGCAACAAGCACTGATCTATCTGGGTCTGCAACAAGCACTGATCTATCACAGTGTCTGCAACAAGCACTGATCTATCTGGGTCTGCAACAAGCACTGATCTATCACTGTGTCTGCAACAAGCACTGATCTATCTGGGTCTGCAACGAACACTGATCTATCTGGGTCTGCAACAAGCACTGATTTATCTGGGTCTGCAAATAAGCACTGATCTATCTCGGTCTGCAACAAGCACTGATCTATCTCGGTCTGCAACAAGCACTGATCTATCTGGGTCTGCAACAAGCACTGATCTATCTGGGTCTGCAACAAACACTGATTTATCTCGGTCTGCAACAAGCACTGACCTATCTGGGTCTGCAACAAGCACTGATCTATCTGGGTCTGCAACAAGCACTGATCTATCACAGTGTCTGCAACAATCACTGATCTATCTGGGTCTGCAACAAGCACTGATCTATCACAGTGTCTACAACAAGCACTGATCTATCTGGGTCTGCAACGAACACTGATCTATTTGGGTCTGCAACAAGCACTGATCTATCTGGGTCTGCAACAAGCACTGATCTATCTGGGTCTGCAACAAGCACTGATCTATCTGGGTCTGCAACAAGCACTGATCTATCTGGGTCTGCAACAAGCACTGATCTATCACAGTGTCTGCAACAAGCATTGATCTATCTTGGTCTGCAACGAAGACTGATTTATCTCGGTCTGCAACAAGCAGTGATCTATCTCGGTCTGCAACAAACACTGATCTACCACAGCGTCTGCAACAAGCACTGATCTACCACAGCGTCTGCAACAAGCACTGATCTATCAGTGTCTGCAACAAGTACTGATCTATCACAGTGTCTGCAACAAGCAGTGACTGCAACAAACATGTATCTACCACAATGACTGCAACAAGCATTAATCTACCACAATTACTGCAACAAGCATTAATCTACCACAATGACTGCAACAAGCATTAATCTACCACAATGACTGCAACAAGCATTAATCTACCACAATGACTGCAACAAGCATTGATCTATCACAGTGACTGCAACAAGCATTTATCTACCACAATGACTGCAACAAGCATTAATCTACCACAATGACTGCAACAAGCATTAATCTACCACAATGACTGCAACAATCACTGATCTATCACAGTGACTGCAACAAGCATTAATCTACCACAATGACTGCAACAAGCATTAATCTACCACAATGACTGCAACAAGCATTAATCTACCACAATGACTGCAACAAGCATTAATCTACCACAGTGACTGCAACAAGCATTGATCTATCACAGTGTCTGCAACAAGCAGTGATCTACCACACGCAATAAGTCGGTTCAACTATGCAGTATGGCTAATGATACAGTCATGAAACTGATCTTCGACTACTAGAACTATCTCTAGTTTATGACTTGCAAATGAGACGACCGTAAATCACATCTGCTCCTATACTTAACAATTCATGTCTCACAGTGTTCTATACACAGATACAGCCTGTTGCATGTGTTTGATACTGTCCCTGTGTTAAAGTGAAAGGCACATCTATTGCTTCCTGTTTCAGTGCAAATGTACCCCAGTTTGTCTCAAAGACAAGGTACATCTTAGTGTCCTGTTTGAATAGTATACCTAGCGTTTCTATGTTCCACACATCTGATGTTTCAATTCAAAGACGCATCTAATGCGTCCCATGTTTCAGGGTACAGGTACATCTAGCTCGTCCTATTTTTCAACTAACGATACTCCTACACCGCCCCAAGTTTCAATGCACAGATACACCTATTGTGTCCTGTTTAGGTCCATGTGTCAGTCCACGGGGGCAGTCTACACTGTCCTAGGATCAAAGATATCATCAGCTGTGTCCAGTGTTTTAGCCATATGTTTCAATACTGGGAGGGTACACCTACCCCGTCCTAACAGCTGTGTCTGATGTTTCAGCCCTATGTTTCAATACTGGGAAAGTACACCTACTCCGTCCTAATAGCTGTGTCCAGTGTTTCAACCGTATGTTTCACCTGTGAAGGTCCGGGTTAGAATGAACCTTCAGTAACCCATGCTTGTCGTGAGAGGCGACTAACGGGATCGGGTGGTCAGGCTACACCTACCCTGTCCTAATAGCTGTGTCTGATGTTTCAGCCCAAACGGGGAAGGTCCACCTACCCCGTCGGGGTTCTAATACCTGTGCCTTGTGTTTTAGTATGTAATATATGTTTCCAGTTACAATAACTAGGTGTGGTCACTGAATCAATCCTGATCGAAGAAGGTGACATGTAGGTAACTCTTCGTTAATTTGAGACGATTTATTCACGGCGGACAGAAGCTTGTGTAGGACACAGAATTATTGAGATCCTGTACAAATTCCCGGCATCTCCACACGTGGACGTCTAAAATGTGAACACTTTCATTTTAAGACCAATAAACTTATTCCTAGATTCACTCTTGTCCAGCACTAATCTGTACGTCCTGTCTGTAAATTAAGATGCATAATAAACAGCCAGCTGCTTGGGCTGACTGGTGCATCAACATCCATAAAACTACACGGTTGCCAAATTCGGTCACAGTCACTCTAAAGCTGCAGCTTTTAACATGGCCCGTATTTTCACAACCAACTATTAGGATACAACCGTTATGTTATCGTTCCACGGAGGTAGAGAGGCAGAATGAAGTACGAGAGTTTCTCCACAAGCGCGATGTACGCCCGCTGTCTAGGTTCCCTGGCGGCTTAACCAGCCATGGAAGACACTACAAGACAGGTTCTCTTCAGGCTATCCAACACGGTTCTGAGTTGCCATGACAACGCGCGATGAATGAGCGCTGTCTATATCGGACTAAATAAAATACTCCATGTACGAGGAAAGGAACAATCCCATCTGTGTAATCCCTAACATTCTATTACAGATAAAATACATTTACATCCGACCTAATTCTGACTCCCGCATATTTAATTTATTTCACTGCCCAAATCTGCCAACGCCATCTCTTTGGAAATATAGACCTTTATCCATATTCTACAGGTTCTTATAACAGTGTTGGGAGTTACAACGATGACTATAAATATTGCCCTGCGATAATTAATTTGTGACTAGATTTTAATAATCTCTAGCAAGCGAGCTATCGGATCGATGCGAGTGGAGGGAGGGAGGGAGCTGTATGGAGGTTGATCAACTCCCGCCATCTTGGTTTCCAAACGCACCGCTTCCACCGACTTGTAAACCTACCAACATAGCTGCCTAATACCGCTAACTTGACCAAAACACATCAATATTTCGATGAATATGCCGAAGATTGTGTCGAATCTGCGATCACGCTAGTTCGTCCACCATTTTGAATAGCTCAGCGAACGATGGCGGTGATAATTTATGAATGATACTTGACAATGGGTAACTAGTAATGGTCGCGACTATACAACAAGGCTGCTTCAGCCCCCTCGGCAGGGAGGTGGAGAGGGTGTTGAGGTGTGGGGTGTTCCTAGGGTGGGGGAAGATATAGCGTCTGTAGTAAGTGCTAGTGTAAGGACATTAACTGGGAGTTGGGGAGGGGGAGGAAGGCAGCAGGTGGCTAATACAAGGGCAGTTTCGATCACTATAATGGCTGCGATGTCACATTGGTAGGGGTCATCGTGCTTACCCTGGGGCTATGATAACATTTGTTAAAAACTAAAATAATACATATTCCCTAGAGATATTTGTCTCCTGTGTCTACCCATCGTTCAAATAACAGATATAGTAAATGCGGAAGAGTACATCATAATGAATGACGATTGATATAATGAATCAATATGTTTATGAAACCACACTCATGATCCAAAATGTATATACGTTTAAAAATTGGCAAAGCATAAATATTGATTAAGAATCAATTTAAATAGCCATTTTGTTTATCACGATGAAGAAACGGCATTTGGATGAAACACCTTTGTTTGTTTCAATTGTAACGTACTTTTTTGCAAGGCCAGAAATGTGTTAACTACACGTTTTACTGAACTGTCAAACATATATATTAACAGGTCTGTGCCCCTAAAGTGTACACAATACAAATTGTTCTTTGAGTTGTGCGGCCGCTCACAACGGGGATCGGGTGAGGGGAAGAGGTCACAGACAGGGGTCTGCAGGTGACTTTGCCCACCTGGCACGCTGACACATTGAATAAAGAAGTGTGAAAAACACATCGTTCAGAAAACACACGACGGGCGTATAACAAGCACGCGTTGATCAGGAGAAAAGCCAGTATGCATAAATGAAAAACTACCCTTTGAACCCCAGGGGTCAAGGCTGGTGATAACGACGACGTTAATTACAATGCTTACAATCAAAATATTATGTCTGTCTATGTTTTACTTCCAACTGAAATTGAAATCAATCCTCAACCACTCAATAAGTCATTCAATCAGCAGCTGTAAACTTCTATTGTTGCAGTGGAATAATAGCTTGAGTTGTTTCATACATGCGGAAGTATCGTATGAACAACTGCAACCATTTGGCGTGCGACACGGTCGACTGGTTCTAAAAGTACTGAATTCACCCGCGACATGTGTTCGGAGAAGAATTAGTATCTATCTGAAATCGCCTATTGTGTACAAAGGTGTCATCCAAGCGAGCATCCAGATACTGAGATCTGTCGAATAATGAGCCGTCATACCTAATATACAGCCTCAAGATGAGTAAGGTATCCATGTCGTCTGCTTCGATATTAGTAGCAGACGACAGAATGGTTGGCAACACCCTCAACCGGCATCATAATTGCAAGCATATGGTTGGGGAATCTTAAACACTAGGAAGTAATTAGCCCTTGAAAAAACAACACTCGACCCATGAAGAAGGTCGATAACATAACCACAACAAAATAAAATCGAAATACTCCACATAACATCAAATAATGAAAGAATTTGCTTACTTCATTTGTTTGACAATTGTGCTTTTGCCCGATTCTCCCGCACCTATATAAAAACAGAAACGAGAGTATGTAAATATAGTCTCCAATAGAGCTGTTTACTGAGCTAGATTGGTGCATTTTAATGTCACAATATATGCATTTTTCAAAGCAGGGACCCCTAACAGCAACAACGGTGCCATTACAGGGTTATTTTAGCCAAAAGTGTGCAGGTTCTTGGATTGGCGGGCTTGTACAGAGATATCCAATATGGCTGCCGCATAATAACAATCCGTTACTAAAAATTACGTTGATTATGCTTTCCGGTGAATTCATTAATCACTGGCTATCTTGCACTCACAACAGACATGCCCTGCGCGTTTCTTACCTAAAAGCAACAGTTTTATATCCTTGGCAGCTTGGATACCATCCTCTTTGAGATTTTTCTCAATGGCCTTACTTCGCTCCAACGCCTGTCGTTCTTCTGCGCTCATGGTACAACCCATCTTGGTGGCGATGCTAGGTCCAACTCACTGTACGCGGCTCGTTGCTGTATACTTGTCGCGCCAATACTGCCGACCAACACACACCGCTGTCACCGACGCTGCCGTCTTGTAAAGCTAGAGCGGCCCTTCTACAGCCTCGACTTGTTAAAGAAAAATAGCTACAATATATATCCTAGCTGAGGCTATCCGGTAGGACTCCGTCTCTGCATAAAAAGAGGCCTCTGTTCCACAACTGTGTGCTGCTTGGCGAGATGCAGCAACTCGCTCGCTCGCTAATGATTCTCAATTTGCCAATACACCCAGTCCCCAACTCGCGTCGCTTCTCTCACACCGAAGCAATGTTCTCGTGTTGCTACAAGACATGGAACACTCAAATACCAATATTTGGCAGAAGGCATCGAACAACCATCCCCCTTCTTTCTGGCGTAGTTCCCGAGAACGGTGCGTGGTTTGTTGGAGGCCCGAGCTAGTCACGGGAACAAAGGCAATGTTTAATATGCCGGCTAGCGCTGGCGAGCCCTGGTGTCGGTAGATCGAACTCTTCTCTGCTACGTTGTCCTAATAGATCGCCAACGTGGGGTCACAGAGTGACGTCATAGCAAGCACGGGCTGCCTGGATATTATTCTGCAGGCGATGGAATTAAGAAATTATGAAAATTAAGGTCATTTCATATTACGAATGGAGTTGTAGTGAGAATGCTGGTATATCGAGAGCAGACAACGATAAGGGCGCACTGGGTGGGCTTGTAGGGTGCGGCCTTCAGCTCTTACTCGCCAAAATATTGGTTCCAAGTTCCATGGCATTATTAACATATATCACATGGTTCCACATCAATTATTCCATGCATATTTATAGCCGCTTGTTTTCTATTCCTGTTAATTTATTATGGGTGAGGGATATATACCCTTTTTTGTATGTGCATCGACAGTTTGAACATAGATAATTATAAATATTTTAACGCTAGATTTAAACATTAGTGTTTATTTAGCATTTTTGCTGTTTACAACCTAATGCGTGAAGATGTTTCACTTTATTTTTTATGTCTTATTTTCTTAAAGGCGAAGTGAGCGTTCCCAACCGTGTATAACTGAGACTTTCCAGTCATTTAAAGGGTAGTATATTTTCAAGTATGAAATTTAATCGACAATTTCATCAGAAAACAAGATTGTTTTGTTATATTTCAAAACTTTATATGCTTGTTTGTTATTTGGTCTTTATAATGACATACACAATGCCAATAAACAAATAACTGCTTTTGTATTTACTGTCACTTTGTCAAAATATTTTAGAAAATAAACACTGGTATATTATTAATAACATCACAATGTATAAGCAATACGAAGTTGTTTTGTTGTTGATTTCCCTCTTTAACAAGCAGCTCATTACTGCTTGTGTGGTGACACAGATTTGACAATAGTTGCATTAACGGTCCACTGCTTGCCAATTCAACCGCATCACAACCACCCCATCCTCCCCCACCTCGACGCTATTATCTCCCTAACCGGACAGATGTCACTCCCAGGACGTATCAATAACAGGTATAGCTGTAAAAGTGGATGATAAAGGGGAGGCAACTACCGTTGCAGTAGTTTAAAATTTTGTACCCAGGGGACCATTCGGTCGACATCTATATCGAAAAAAGATTCTTAGTGGATGACACAACTGTTATCAAATATCATCTTAATGCATGGTGTTTCACGTACAATTAAAAAAGTTAACAAAATTTAAGAAAGATGACCGCACCTCCCTTAGGTGTGGGTATGTAACTATGTTCTTGTGGACTGTGTATTTATGTTGTATTTGTCAGCCGGGTCTGTCAGTGTGTAATTGTTGGTGTGTACCTGTCGGTGTGTATTTGTCAAGTGGGTCCGTGAGTGTGAACTTGTCAAGTAGGTCTGCCAGTGTGTATTTGTCAAGTAGGTCTGTCAGTGTGTAATTGTTGGTGTGTACCTGTCGGTGTGTATGTGTCAAGTGGGTCTGCCAGTGTGTATTTCTCCAGTAGGTCTGTCAATGTCCAATTGTTGGTGTGTACCTGTCGGTGTGTATGTGTCAAGTGGGTCTGCCAGTGTGTACTTGTCAAGTGGGTCTGTGAGTGTGTACTTGTCAAGTGGGTCTGCCAGTGTGTATTTGTCAAGTGGGCCTGTCAGTGTGTCTTTGTCAAGTGGGCCTGTCAGTGTGTATTTGTCAAGTGGGCCTGTCAGTGTGTAATTGTCAAGTGGGTCTGCCAGTGTGTACTTGTCAAGTGGGTCTGTGAGTGTGTACTTGTCAAGTGGGTCTGCCAGTGTGTATTTGTCAAGTGGGCCTGTCAGTGTGTATTTGTCAAGTGGGCCTGTCAGTGTGTCTTTGTCAAGTGGGCCTGTCAGTGTGTAATTGTCAAGTGGGTCTGCCAGTGTGTACTTGTCAAGTGGGTCTGTGAGTGTGTACTTGTCAAGTGGGTCTGCCAGTGTGTATTTGTCAAGTGGGCCTGTCAGTGTGTCTTTGTCAAGTGGGCCTGTCAGTGTGTATTTGTCAAGTGGGCCTGTCAGTATGTATTTGTCAAGTGGGCCTGTCAGTGTGTAATTGTCAAGTGGGTCTGCCAGTGTGTACTTGTCAAGTGGGTCCGTGAGTGTGTAATTGCCAAGTAGGCCTGTCAGTGTGTAATTGTCAAGTGGGTCTATGAGTGTGTACTTGTCAAGTAGGTCCGTGAGTGTGTAATTGTCAAGTGGGTCTGTCAGTGTGTACTTCTCAAGTCGGCCTGTCAGTGTGTAATTGTCAAGTGGGCCTGTCAGTGTGTATCTGTCAAGTAGGTCGGTCAGTGTGTAATTGTCAAGTGGGCCTGTCAGTGTGTATTTGTCAAGTGGGTCTGTGAGTGTGTAATTGTCAAGTAGGTCTGTCAGTGTGTAATTGTTGGTGTGTACCTGTCGGTGTGTATTTGTCAAGTGGGTCTGCCAGTGTGTATTTGTCAACTGGGTCCGTCAGTGTGTATTTGTCAAGTGGACCTGTCAGTGTGTCTTTGTCAAGTGGGCCTGTCAGTGTGTATTTGTCAAGTGGGCCTGTCAGTGTGTAATTGTCAAGTGGGTCTGCCAGTGTGTACTTGTCAAGTGGGTCTGTGAGTGTGTACTTGTCAAGTGGGTCTGCCAGTGTGTATTTGTCAAGTGGGTCCGTGAGTGTGTATTTGTCAAGTGGGTCTGTCAGTGTGTACTTCTCAAGTCGGCCTGTCGGTGTGTAATTGTCAAGTGGGCCTGTCAGTTTGTAATTGTCAAGTGGGCCTGTCAGTGTGTAATTGTCAAGTGGGCCTGTCAGTGTGTATTTGTCAAGTGGGTCTGTCAGTGTGTATTTGTCAAGTAGGTCTGTCAGTGTGTATCTGTCAGTGTGTATTTGTCAAGTAGGTCTGCCAGTGTGTATTTGTCAAGTGGGTCTGTCAGTATGTATTTGTCAAGAGGGCCTATCAATGTGTAATTGTCAAGTGGGTCTGTGAGTGTGTAATTGTCAAGTGGGTCTGCCAGTGTGTAATTGTCAAGTGGGTCTATCAATGTGTAATTGTGAAGTGGGTCTGCCAGTGTGTATTTGTCCAGTAGGTCCGTCTGTGTGTAATTGTCAAGTGGATCTGTCAGTATGTATTTTTCAAGTGGGTCTGACAGTATGTATTTCTCAAGAGGGCCTGCCAATGTGTATTTCTCAAGAGGGCCTGCCAATGTGTAATTGTCAAGTGGGTCTGTCAGTGTGTAATTGTCAAGAGGGTCTGCCAGTGTGTTTTTGTCAAGTGGGTCTGCCAGTGTGTATTTGTCAAGTGGGTCTGTCAATGTGAATTTGTCCAGTAGGTCTGTGAGTGTGTAATTGTTAAGTGGGCCTGTCAGTGTGTACTTGTCAAGTGGGCCTGTAAGTGTGTATTTGTCAAGTGGGTCTGCCAGTGTGTATTTGTCAAGTGGGTACTTGAGTGTCTATTTGTCAAGTTGGTCTGTCAGTGTGTATTTGTCAAGTGGGCCTGTCAGTGTGTATTGTCAAGTGGGTCTGTCAATGTATATTTGTCAAGTGGGCCTGTCAGTGTCTTATGCTCAAGTGGGCCTGTCAGTGTCTATTTGTGAAGTAGGTCTGTCAATGTATACTTGTCGATTGGGTACGTCAGTGTGCATTTGTCAACTCGGTCTGTCAGTGTGTATTATTTACCTGGGCCTGTCAATGTGCATTGGTCAAGAGGGTCTGTCAGTGTGCATTTGTCAAGTGAGTTTCTCGGTGTATATTTGTCAATTCAGTGTGCGTCTCCGTGTGTGTCAATCAGTGTCCGTCTCCATTTGTTTCAATCAGTGTGCGTCTTCCCGTGTGTCACTCCGTGTGTGTCAATCAGTGTGCGTCTTCCCGTGTGTCACTCAGTGTGTGTCAATCAGTGTGCGTGTCCCTGTGTGTCAGTGGGTGTGCGTGTCCCTGTGTTTCAATCAGTGTGTCTCTGCCCGTGTGTCACTGAGTGTGTGTCTCCATGTGTAACAATGTTAGTGTGTCTTACTATGTTTTTTGTCAGAGTGCGTCACTCAGTATGCGTCTCCATGTCTGTCACTCAGTGTGTCTCTCCGTGTTTGTCACTCAGTGTGTGTCTCTGTGTGTCAGTCAGTGTGTCTCTCAGTGTGTCTCTCCATGTGTGTTAATCAGAGTGTGTCTCAAAGTGTGTCAATCAGTGTGTGTCTCCCTGAGTGTCACTTCTGTGTGTCTCTCAGTGTGTGTCAATGTGTGTATGTCTCAATATGTGTCAGTCTCTCAGTGTGTCTCAATCCCTGTTTCTGACTCAGTGTGTCTCTCCGTGTGTGTCTCTCTGTATGTCAATCAGTGTGTTCTCTCCTTGTGTGACTCAATGTGTGTCTCCCTGTGTGTCACTCAGTATCTGTCTCCCTGTATGTCACTCAGTGTGTGTCTCCCTGTATGTCACCCAGTGTGTGTCTCCCTGTGTGTCTCCCTGTATGTCACCCAGTGTGTGTCTCCCTGTATGTCACCCAGTGTGTGTCTCCCTGTATGTCACCCAGTGTGTGTCTCCCTGTGTGTCACTCAGTGTGTGTCTCCCTGTATGTCACCCAGTGTGCGTCTCCCTGTATGTCACCCAGTGTGTGTCTCCCTGTATGTCACTCAGTGTGTGTCTCCCTGTATGTCACCCAGTGTGTGTCTCCCTGTCTGTCACCCAGTGTGTGTCTCCCTGTATGTCACTCAGTGTGTGTCTCCCTGTATGTCACCCAGTGTGTGTCTCCCTGTGTGTCACTCAGTGTGTGTCTCCCTGTATGTCACTCACTGTGTGCCTCCCTGTGCGTCACTCAGTGTGTGTCTCCCTGTATGTCACTCACTGTGTGCCTCCCTGTATGTCACCCAGTGTGTGTCTCCCTGTATGTCACCCACTGTGTGTCTCCCTGTATGTCACCCAGTGTGTGTCTCCCTGTATGTCACCCAGTGTGTGTCTCCCTGTATGTCACCCAGTGTGTGTCTCCCTGTGCGTCACTCAGTGTGTGTCTCCCTGTATGTCACTCAGTGTGTGTCTCCCTGTATGTCACTCAGTGTGGGCCTCCCTGTATGTCACTCAGTGTGTGTCTCCCTGTGCGTCACCCAGTGTGTGTCTCCCTGTGTGTCACTCAGTGTGTGTCTCCCTGTATGTCACCCAGTGTGTGTCT